TTAAAAGCGGTGTGATCATAGTTGGAAATGAGAAAAAGAAAATTAGGTTGTATAATCAAATACTTTTGCATAAAATGTGTTGTGAAAGTTGAACATCAAATTATCAATCTTCTGCACACTTTGTCTCTAAGGGTGTTGTAACTATTTAGATTTATGTTTGTTCAGCACATTCAGTAAATAATGAGCTGCTTAGTGATCATGTTTTCTGCTTTCAGGTTGATGTTTTTAAGTACACTAGTCTTGCTAAAACTTTAAAAATTTAGTCCCTAAAATGTCTGTATTTGCCAGTGCAGAAGTGTTAAGCAATAGAAACTCTCACTTTTTTTTTCATTTCCTGAATGGATCTGTCAAGGACATACTATACCAAACTAGGAGTTTCCTTCGAGTAGTTTGCCTTCATAGCTGTGCTTACATGTGCCATGGAAAATGTTGACATGGGGTGTTTTCTTTTGTCTCTCACTCCCTTGCAAGTACAGCTAAAGTTTCCATTACTTTTATCATCTCTGCTGTTTACTTTTCAACTGTTTTGGCGGCTTGGCAATACGTTAGTTGTGGTCTTTTTTGCATTTGGTCTTGATTACATGAGGACAGTCTGATTTTCATTTTGTTGTTTGCTTCTGATGACACCACTCGAGTTTGTATCACAGTAAGACTTTGAATACTGCTGCTGTGTATAAATCCAGGCTCCACAGACCTGTGCATCTCTGGGAGCGCTGTTTCACATGATGAATTTTTTTGCTATTTATGTTGCTAGTGTTGCTTAAAGCAGCCTGGATTAGCAGTTAGATACATTTAGCAACCTCAGTTTTTGTAGTTGACTAATCAGTAAACCATTGTAGGCCACTAAGGAACCTCTGATGAGATAAGAGATATTTTTAATCTGTTTTGGGCTTGACTGAAATTTTTCGGGCATGCCTTTAAGGTTTTCTCTTTGAGCAACATGTTTAAGGCAGAGAAGGAAGTTATGACAACTGCATGATTCTGAAGTTAGATAGAAGAGAACAGGAACATTCAGGAAAATAACTTAAAAGAGAGATGGATGAAATATGAGAGAAGCAGAATTGAAAGGCAACAGGAAAAGGTATTGGGAGAAATGGCCCCAAAAGGAACGGTATTCTTCCATTCACCATAAGTGCTGTCAAAGAGGTAGTATGCCATACTATTCCTATCATGGCAGTGTTGCAAAAACCCCCCATTTTTAAATGAAGCATTAAAGATACTGATTGATTAGATCTTCTTTTAATGTTCTTTAATGGTGACTTAGAAGCACAGGCCATGCACCTAATACCTTCATTAAAAAGCTTTAACACACTCATGAGGAAACCCCAAGATAAACGTTGGAACTGTATGCATATTTCAGAAAACCATTTTGGAACATGTTTAGGCTTGTCACTTGATTCCATGTATAGGCATATCATGTTTCCATTAAGACCACCAGCTGCCAAAATGCACATGTTTTTAGTTTGCCTGTTTTGTGCTCTTTCAATTTTATAATATTCTGTATTCAGTTCAGTGAGCACTTCTTCATGAGGGTTTGGAATTCTATTATGTTTATGTTGTTAAAAAAAATAAATTTGAAATTGCCTGCCAGATTTCATGTTAATGAAAGAGTAACTGAATGAACCGAAGATGTAGCAGTTAATTAATGAAACTGCTGATGCTTATACAGTATTTTATGAATTAGTAAATGAATATATCCTTAGTAGTCCCAAAACTCAGATAGCTTTTCATCAGTGGTTTTGTAACTAACTGCATGATTTCTAGTTCAGGGTCACTCACGGTTCCCTACAACAGTGACTGTTCTGTATATTACCAACTTCAATGTTCTAAGGAAGAAAACCTTCTTCTAATTCATTAATAGACTTAAGTGATTCCTATGGGGGTAGGACACAGAGATTGCAGTCAATATCATGAGACATTGATTAAAACCAAACAATTTTGAAATTAATTCTGGATTAACAAAAACTCAATCATGCTACATTTTCTGGTATGATACAACCAAACAGGGCATCTTCAGCTTCATGCTAAGTGGAGTGAATCAAAAATAAGACTTTTAGCAGGCACACAATAACATGTAATCATAATAGAGACCAAGTCCACTGAACTAGTGTGTTGATTTCATTAAGAATGGATTCTTCCTATTTTCTTGTGTTGATGAAATAGAAAGTAATATAGTAGCCTGACCAATAGTACATGTTCAGTGTTACACTCTTACACCAAATTATAAAGAAAGAAAACGCAGCAAAGTGTAAGAGTATTAAGTTTCAGAAGTTAAACCTTTTTTAGGTTGTATTCTTTAGAGTAAGGGTCTGTTCCTTTCTCCTGCCTTTTGTGAATTTGGTGATACTTCCTACATTTTAAAAGCTTTCTGTACAATCTTTTTTTTTTTTGTCACCTTCCAATTATTATTTTCCATTGTTGAATACACTTCCCTGCTGTACCTGTCCTGTCTGTGGGCTGCTGGAATACGTAGGGCTGTAAGTAGAAAGCCACTGTCAGCCTCACAGGTCGTTCTGCGTCATGGGGTGCAGCATGCAGAACAGCGCTCACAGCACAGGTCCCAGCACTCAGCGCTGGGCTTCTGTACTGCCCTGCAGTTACTAGTGAAAAGTCATTATTGACAATACATGTTCCCAAAACTTCATGTGAAGCATGACACCCTATATGGTGTGGAAAGTCCAGAGATTATCACAGATACATAGGAGGAAACATGACGATACAAGTAGTGTATATTCTGTTTTTGTATTGTAACCTTTCATTGCCTGGATTTGATGTATGTTCGTCATCCTTATAGTTTTACTACTTTGCATCCTATGTGCATTTTGCTGGTTTCTATATGATTTTTCATGTGATATACATGCTTTCTTATGGAAACTACTCATCCTTTGCTGTTTTGCATTTCAAGGAAATACTTTGCTTCCTTAATTTGATTGTTTGTATATAGTGTCTCCTAGTGTTTACCACTATGAGATCTATTTTTTCCGTATGTATGTATAGTAGCAAGTATTACATGGTAGTAGTTACATGGTAGCACTGCAAGTCTTCTACCGGTAGTCTAGTAATACTCTTGAAATAATAATCAAAATTCTGTCTTGTAGTTTTTTGCTTTAATTTTTGTTGATTACCGTTCCAAACCCTGTATTTTGCAATCCAGCTTGGCAACAGATGAACTCTTTGCAATTGGATAAAACCTTTTTTTTGTTTATGAATTGCAAATTTTTCATAGAGAGTTTTGTGGTATTTGTTGATGTTCTCATACATATGGCATTGTTACTAAATTTGGATCCCTGTACCCTTACCCTGACTTATCTGTAAAGAAAGTGAAGAAAGTAACAAAGACTCAGTTTAAAAGGATTTTAAATGCTTTGTTTTCTACATAACTCTGGAAAAAAATGGTATAAAATCATTTATTAAATCCTGCTTTACTGGGGTTATGCAAAGTTCTAATGAAATAATCATGTCATATCACTTGTGTAACACTGTATGAAGAGAGTAAAAGCAGACTTTAAAATTTTTACTGCACCTATCTACTACTGCTTCAGCCTGGGCAAGTTGGAGGGGTTTTTTAGGCAAGATACCTACACTACAGATCAAATTCCTGCATTCTCAGTGTATAAACTCTTGGTTCTAGCCAAGAAGGACTGTCTGCACAAATTTTCAATCCCTTCTGTTAAAATTCAAAGATGAATCTGTCCTGTAAAGCCTTGTTTTAACTGTCCAAACCTGTTTCCCTCAGATTTTGAGGTAGGAATTACGATTTGGACCCAACAGAAAGATTGGTTGGGCATATTTCTTAAATAAAATATTAAAAGACATTTCCTTTTTGCTTTTCTTTCCAGGATCAGTCCTAAAGGCTCTTTGTTTCTAATTTCACCTAGACAAGATCCATTTCTTTTTAAAACTTTCAAGATTGCAGATATTTCCCATTCAGGCAAAAAATTAAGGGGTTTTAGGGTGTTTTTTTCATCAAAGTGGACGAAGCCTTCAACTTCGCTCTTGATACACAGTGAATCTTGTTGGAATATACAGTTAAATACTCCCCAGTCATATGAGGCAGCTAGCTTCAGGTTCTTGTCTGCCTAATTCAGACCAGAACCTTGCAGTTACCACTTTATCATCTTAGGTGAACACTCTTACCATCTGTGTTCTGGTGTGGATATTACTCATTTGTCTCCATTTGAAGCTGTTCTGTGGATTTGTTAAGAGATCCAGAGAATCTTACAATATTTTGATTTCCCCAGCAGCAAAGTTTTATTCCATCCTGCATCCTCTGCTGCTGTTGAAAGGATATGAGGATTCCTTTGCTTTGCAACAGCAAGTCTCAGCTGTTGAGATACTGGATGAAAATACCAAGTTCAACTAGTTATTCATCCACACAGAAAAGGTGTCAGAAGGGTATTATTATCCATAAATTCAGGTTCTCAAATTCTGTAGATAGGGAAATTAAACGAAGTCTAATATTAATCTAAACATTAAAATTTTTGCACTGTGAGCTGCTTCTGCAACAAGATTTTAGTTGAATAATTAAATGTTCTTTAAATATTGGTGGTATGCAGTGGTGGGTGTTTCCTGGTTCAGAGAAGGAAGACTCTGACCTGTGCTTTAAGCGCCAGAGTAAACTCTTCTCCCCAGATATGTCCTTACATGCTGATTTACATGTGCAGATATGAGATATTGCTGGTATGTTGGTGGATTTAGACATCTGTCAGTGCATCTGACACACCCACTTTCAAAAGATGCCTGTCTTCATTTTATTTGGTATAATTATCAAGGAGCAAGTCGTCTTCATTCCAGTTAATACTGAGTTACCTCTTACTGTGGTATGTTTTTAAATTTTGTTTAAAAATATTTTCAAGTTCTGTATCTTCTAACTATAGCACTGAACAGCACTTTGCTGACAAACTTTTTTGAAGTGTGAAATGTGTTCTTTTTTCTTCTTTCCCTGACATTACCATGTTCTGTTCCTCAGAGTGTTTTCTCTTTCTGTGATTCCTTTTCAGCTGCTGCACATAAAGTGTGATAATGATGAACATATGTTTCAAAGACCCTCTACTTTTTTCTGGTGTAACAATGAGGATTCACCTCCTTGTTTAGATATTTCTTCCATTACGCTTACTCCTAGGAGTTCTCCTGACTCTAGACTCCCATCTGGATTGTTAATACCACCACCTTCAAAAAGTGGTCTTCCAAAGCCAACCAGCGAATACAGCTGCCCAAGACCTCATGTAATCCTGCTGTGCAAAAGCTTTTCCAATTTTTTGGGGGGGCTTTCCTTTGTTCTCTGTTGTATATTAACTTCTATTACAAATGTGCATTTTGTACAGTGGTTAAAGGATGGAGCAGATGTATCTTAGATTCTCTAGGGATACGCTTAAAATACAGAATCTGTGAAGATTTACTCTTATTTCTACATAGCTTTTTCTCTCCCACCCCAAAAACATAAATTCTGATTTTTCCCAGCATGTTTAAATTAGTCCATTAATTAATTACATCTGTGTTATCTGTCAATCTTTTGTTAAAATTCTTTATATTAAGGATAGTTATTCAAAATAAACAATTCTAAAGGTACAACTCCAAGGGCTTTTTTTCTCTTCCATGAATTAATAGAAAAGTAATCAGCCATTAAAAGCCTTTTAGCATACTTTATAAAAACTCTGTGCAAAATGAAGGTTGAAAATTATTCTTAAATATGAAATGGGCATATTGCCTGCTCTTTCATAGCAATATGCTTATGCTCTCAACTTTTCTTCTGTTTGCAAGTAACATTTTTCTGTATTTGGCAAACATCGTTGCTTTCTGCATGTGTTCACTAAATAAAAGTGCTTCTTGTGCTCATATGTATTCAAAATACACATTTCTTAAAACAACTAAATTACAGTTTCACGTAAACTGGTTGTATCAGTATTATCAAAATGGCTAGTAACTTCAACGAAATGGCACATAGACAGGAAATGGCAGTGTAAAGTTTGGTTTTGCTTTTTTTTGCCTGAAAGACTCATTTAAGACTAAACATAAATACTGTTTATTTATCTAGCTTCTAGGTAGCCTTAAACACTTAGCAAATAAGGAGAATCTACATTAGCATTTACTACCTCCAAGATTCTACGATTATCCATCAATGTTGATGGGAAATGTGGGTTAATATATGGCATGTACATGCGTTCAACCTGATCCCATCTTCCTGATGGCAGACAAAAACCTATCTACAATTAGGGAGTTTTGTTTGTATGAAGAAAGGGATATGAGATTATTATATGTTTACTTTGGGTCAAGCACATCCGTTGCTCTGCTTTGAGTGGGAGCAGATGACATCCAGCAATCTCCCTGACTTAAATTATATTGGTTCTCTGACTGTGCACAAAGGCGCCAGGAGGTTAATGCAAGGTCCACGAACAGAGTAATAAGGGACTATTGTGTCTAAATGCTATGCACTGAAATCTTTTCACAACAGATGATCTTTGAAATTGCAGTGCTCTCTCATCTTGAGGTCAGTAAGAGTTCTCTACGTGTAAAAATCTTTAAAATTAGTTATTTTATGAGATTAATTCAGCTGTGGTCTTGCCAAGGGATAATACGACTGAGAGAATATATATATATTTTTTTTTAAATAGAACAACAGCAACAACAAAAAAGCAGTATGTTAAATGTAGGGTTCGGGGTTTTTTGTTGTGGTGGTGGTGTTTGGGGTTTTTTTTGCTTGGTATATATATATACTGAAGTATACCCAGGTAGAAATATCCCATTTTTTTTGAGATTTTAAGCAGTTCTAGATTTCTCTTAAATCCAGACTTAAAGTATGAATTCAAAACTTCTAAGAAACAGGAAATGTAGGACTTCAGAGTCTAGTTTTCTCTTTAAGCAGTGTATTCAGTGGAAGACTGGATCAATATCCTTTCCTCTCAGCAGCCACTGCAGCCTCCAGGGAGAAATTGAGGTACTTCAGAGCTATCTATGGACTTGGCTTAGAAATCTGTGGCGTGTGCTGTCAGAGGGCAGCTTCAGATGCTATAGCAGAGGCACTAAGTAGCATTCCAAAATAAGGTTTAGGTCCATGAAACTCATGGATCAGCAGTGCTAAAAACTACCTGCTTGCAAGGTTGTTGTATTCATATATTCTGAATAAAAGGATCCATGTGACTAATTTAACTTGTGCTTAAAAACTTTAATCTGAATATTTTGGTCAAACTGAATCTTATTTAAAGTAGCAGGCTTTCCTTGTGCCTGGCTGTATAGTCTTTTTAATACCCAGAATGTAAGGGGGTTTTGTATTGTCCAAGTAGTGACTAGTTTTGCATATATATTTTGACTTCAGCTTGTCAATCTCAGTCTTAATATATTTCATCATCTGTCTTTTGTGTTCAGTTTATTCTGACTTGACTGTGCCTCATTTGTGTCTTGAAGTAGTGGGCTAATGGCAGGAGGAATGAATCATGAAAATAAATACGGCTGTAGAACCATAATAATTGTTGGGTTTGGGGTTTCTTTGCTTATCCAGTATTTTTTTGAACCCTTACAAATTCCTGGACCTTACTAATGAAATCTTTTCTGTTTCATGTTTGAGGATGAGAGTTTTATTTTGGATATTAATATTCAGTGTATTGCATGCCTAGGTTGTTACTTAGGAAAAAATACATTTGAATCATTGACCACACCAGGTTTATTAGTAAACAAGAAATACTGTGATTGTATCCTTTAATTTTAGCTACTTGTTCCGTGCACTCCAGAGCATAGGGTATTGTTGTTGCAGTGTTGCCTTAAAAGGGTCTTGTGAACATACCTGTATTCATACATCTGCTATAGAGAACTGCTTGTCACCAGCTTTTTCAGGTTTAACTGTGTTACATTTCTGGCTGTACCAAATGGACTGAAAATGGAAAAATTACAGTGCTGCTTATGTATTGGAGAGTTTTAGCATGTCTCAGACGCTGAACTGCAAGTGCCGTTTGCTTGGTGTCGGGAGCTGTTTTTTGCATGCTGATGGTTATTTTTAACTTTTTTGAAAACGTGGCTCTTATCTGCATGCTGAATAATTCAGTATTGTGATCTTTTTCATGTGAAATATTGCCCTAATATTTATTGTCCTTATTGTAGGCAGGCAGTGTGACACCCAAATCACCCTCCACTGACATCTTTGATATGGTTCCCTTTTCTCCCATATCCCCTCAGTCATCAACACCTACTCGCAATGGTACACAGCCTCCTCCAGTACCCAGTAGATCTACAGAGATCAGTAAGTTTTGTAACAACTGACCTAATTTGTGCTTAAATTATATTTTTTTTAATAAAGCATCTTCAAAGATTTACATACATTTTGCATGAAAAGCCAAATACAGTTTTTGTAAATCACATTCAATAATGCCATTTTATTTTTATACCATCTTCCCAAAGTCATTGATGTTGCTGCCAAGGTACATTGTAAACAAATTTATTTACTGGACAAAACTATTATATAAACAGTTTGAAGGAATGTGGTTGGGGTTTTTAACTTGGCTTTTCTTTTACAGTATCTTTTTTGTACTTAATTCAAGATATCCTTTTACTTCCTGTTAGTTCTTTCCTTGTCAAGCCACAGTTGTAGCATCTAAAGCCTACATTTCTGGGGAAGACAGCAAGTGGAGTAAGTATGATGATGATGATGATGATGCAGAAGGGAGAGCTGAAGAAACCCCTCAATATGTAGACTATCTTGGAATGCTATTTTTAATACTACATTTCATATCTCTATAGCTTTGGGTTTCAGTTACAGTTGATGAACCTCTCCAGATCTGTGAACCCCTCCTAAAAGATCTTCAAAAGATATTAACAATAGCAATTTTATTTTCCAAAGGCTTGAAAGCAGCTAGGGTAAGGTTCTTGGCTTCACTGGAAATCTTTTAGGAGTCCACAAAGTATTTTTAAAAGCTTTGGAAATCCCTTGGGGGAGAGGAGAGCAGAGCATACACAAGCAATGTTAGAGGTTGTAGAAATATCTGTGTGTAGTATCTTCCATTTCTGATGCATATTTTAGTATGGATAAGGAACATAAATGTTACTGCGTGCCACCATATAAAACCACATTTGAAGAAGTTCTTGCTGTTTTGGGGAATGCTGCTAGTATGTAGAATTTTCAGGTATGAATGGGAGCTGTGCACAATTATAAAAATGCATTGTAAAACTTAAGTCAGTGAGTGTCTTCCCCGATACCATATCCTACGCAGCTTTTGGTTCCGTTGCTCAGAATGACTGTCACCCTCTAAAGAGAAAGATGTCAAAGCTGTTGATTCAAATAAAAAAAATTTGTTCTTTTTAAGAGAAGATTTTAAATTCATTTAATTTCTGTGGGTTTCTCATAATTTAACATAATTTAAAACTATTCTAGTAAGGATAGTTAATATTAACTATTCTTAGATAACTTAGAAATATATTAGAATATTCTAATAGAATATTAGAATAAAACTGTTCTGTTAAGAGAATTTTTGTGGCTTTGTAAAGAGCAACCAAAAAATAGTTCAAAGACACCCCTTCAAGAACTCCTTTTGTGTTTTCAAATTTGTTGCTCTCAAGCTACAGACAATGCCATAAAATAAATCTCAGTGTGAATAATAACTTGAATTATAAAACGAGATTTTTTTACTCTTTTTTTTTTTTTTTTTTTTTTTTTTTTTTTTTTTTTAGCTATTGTCCTACTTCGGTTCCATTGAAATTGTGGCTAGAAATCTTGTGGGAGTCAGGACTCAATGCTGAGTGCTCTTGAAAATTCCAGCTGTGTAGGTTTTGTAGTTCTTGAATCAGTGGGTTTTGTAATATAGAAAATACTATAAATAAGTTGCTTATTTGGTGATATGTACTGTTCAAAATAGTCATTCTGCACTTCATTCATTTGCATTAAATTAAGATGAGGGGGTTCAGAGTTGTGGCGGTCAGTGTCTGTTAATTCTCTGCTCTTCAGCATGTTGTGCTTCAGAGAGAGATTACAGAAGTACATCATAGTCTTTATACTTTGATACCTGCTCTTTCAGTCTACATCATGGCATTTTATAAGTTGAAAATTGTTGCCTTCATCAGCTATTAACACACTTGGGCATATTTCAGAAGTGTAATTCGAAACAGGAGGGGAAGATTTTTATGATGAAACAAGGACTTACTGTCTTAGATGAGAAAGTTCACATCCCATAAGAACCCCATTCAAGCTGTGTAATGTTATACCTTACTATAATAATGTACAATAATACTTTATATGCTGCCAGTACAAGCAAGGTGGCATTTCTTTCTCCAATACAAGTTACATAGGTGGCTACCAAGAAGAGCTGATGTTTGGAGTTACCTTTTCACGTTTCTTTGTCACTGCACTTGAGCATTTTTTTTCCAATCACTTTTGATGAAATTACGGGGCGATTTTGTTGGATTTTGTAATTTTTATAACTTTCATCTATGTCATGTTCAGTAGTAAACAGGGAGAAAGATAAGGATGCAGCATCTATTTGCTAGTGTCAACCTCAGTTGCTCTGTTTGTCTAAATGAGGTTCATCTGCCTATTATCTAGGGATGACACTTGTGCTGCTCAAGCAAAATGTGCTTTTAAAAGCCAAAGTTCTCTTATCAACTGGCCAGTTTGACAAATTGCCCAAGAATAGCACTGCACAGGAAAGATGGATCTCATTTGCAGGAAATGGGTAACAATACCAACCACTTTGGATTCCTCCAAGACCAAGAGCTTCATAGGTGCTAATTGGCACCAGGATGACAGTTCAGCTTTTCATAAAAAGAAAAGCTTAGAGTTAGAATTTTGCTTGTCAGCTCTCCTTTGGGTAGTTACCTCAGCAAAAATTGGGGGGTTATAAACAGTATCTTTTGCTTTTACTAGCTCTCAGTACATAGTTCAAGAAACCCAGCATTCTAATACTGGGAAGAGTCCAACACTGACCTTTTCTTCAGAAGATGGTTATCTCCAAAGAATTTAAACTTTAAAAAAGGGAGAAGATTTTTGAAATTTTGAGTTATTATTCAGCAGTATACCAATATGTTTTCTCAGTAAATGTCGACTGACTACTGGGTATATCAGTGATAGCAAATAGATTGTTTTTACCTGTTTTAAAGGAGAAAATTGCGTGATTTTTGAACAGGAAGTTGCAAATTGGACAAATATGTGGTGTCTCTTTAGGTAATAATTGGAAAAAAGTGATTTTTTTTCAAAACCAAAAGCCTTTCCAGAATTGCATTTCTACTCAAAATGTTGCTGAAAAATACTTCTTTTAACACTAAGTTTGCAGTAACCAGCTTGCAGGCTAAACATAAACATTGTAGCCCAATATAGTAATTGCTTAATTGAACAATTGAACAATGCATAGTTAGTGCAACCAAAAATGCAGCGTTAAAGACCATGCTGCTGCTTCCTTGTGGAGTAAGGGATTGCAAATGTTCTTGTACGTTATCTTAAAGGACGTAATTTATTAATTTTAGTTAATTAAAGAAGGAATTCATTTGTGTGTCTGGTTGGCACAGCTTTATTGTCATATCTCAGAAAAGAACTGGTGAGGAACATTCTCTATCAAATTATTCAACATTTATTTCCCTCAAATGCATCTTGAACAGTCCAAGGTCACAACTGTCAGATGCAGAAATCTGCTTTAAGGTGCTGTCTCTCCAGAGATATTTAAGAGTATGTTGTCAGAATAATCATGGAGCCATTTTTTATGCTGTAATAATTCCAAAAGAAAAAAGCACAGAGTAGCCTGCAGCTAAGGGAAAGGCTTTCTGGACTTCACTACCTCAGCTTATTCCAAATATTTTCTTGGGTGCTTGTCTTCAGTGTGATTAATTTTTATTTGTCATCACAGCTGCTCCAGGACATCTGGGGAAGGCATATATCAGCATAACTCTGTGTCTAGATGATAGCTAAGGTAAAGAAGATTGGGATGCAAAATGCAGTAGAAAAGACAAATATTTGTAGTTTTATTTAGTGATTGCTAGTTTTTAGTTTTATTACAGAGTACGGGTTGCTACTTTCCAGCGTTACATGTTTCTTGTCCTGAATGTCAAACAGGTCACAGAAACAAGAGTTTATTACCTGTTCATGTCTTTCTGTGGTTTGAGTTGCAGATGTAAAACATCAGCATTTCATGGTTTTGAATTTGTTGATCAATTTCCCAAGCTGTGAATTTATTTCCATCCAGAAAGGAATGGGAAAGGGAAAGGAAATTATATGTGTTGTTTGAAAGGATCATTTTCAAAGACTTACTGGTTGCTGTGTATTGAAGAAAGAAATGCTTGTCTATGCTACAATTATTTTGGAGAGTGTGCAAGGCAAGATATTCTTGTTATAGTTAATCTTCACCAAATACTCTAGCCTGAAATAAAAAAAATAGTGATTTATCCCATCTCTGCTAAAAAGGAGCCCCTCTGAACACTGGAGCATACACTAGCAGATAAACTTATGGAGATCCCATGCAATAGTGCAGCTCTGCAGTGACTAAATTTTAGTATTCATCCAGTTTCCACATGTTCTTCAGCTTCTTGTGTTCAAAAGAGAAACACGATGCTAATGAAAATATTTCGTGGAACTTTATCCTTCCCTGACTCTTAGCAGTGGTCTCATAGTAATGCACAAATTTTAAATGCAGAAAAGCAGTTTTACTATGGACTTTTTCAGCTGGTTTACTAAATGGTTAGCAAGTTATAATAGAGAATGTTCCCAAAACAGTAATTTTTCAAAGAAATTCAGCTAGGAAATACTTATTTATTTTGAATTTCGTTCTGTACAGGGTTTATTAGGCTTTGTCACTTAAAATTAACCAGAGTGTAACTTTTTCTAAAGTCTGCCTTGAATAACAACATAAATGAAGTAGTCCTTCGCCTGAAGACAGTTGACATTACAGGAGCTAAAGCTGCTGCCATTCTCCTGCTAATGAGCTCAGAAGTTCTGTCATTCATAAAAGCGCAGTAATAAGGCACAAATGAGATAATATCCATAATAGTGTACACAAAACTTGCTTTCAAAAATAGTGATAAGTCATATTTCAGTACTAAGAAATGCAAGAACTGTGTCCTTTACTGTTTTTTCCTAAATACATTCCTTGAATGTTTGCTAAGGCTTGGTGTTGAAACTGGCTACTTTTGGTTGTCTGACCACACAGAAAGCTGTCAGCTCCTTTTAAGGGTAAAAAGAACTTATGGGAAGGGGGGGGGGGGGCAAAGCAGAGAAGAAAGAAAGAAAATGGACCTACATAATGAAGAAATAGTCTTATAAGGAGCATAAAGCATAATCCCTTTTTGCCCAGTAGAGTTTAGATGGAAAGCCAAAGCTGCTACACATCTGAAGGTTACTTGGTAGAAGCATTGGAGCATGTAAGGACACTGGTTATACTGGAGCTGACCCAGTTTGGCTGTGAAAGAGGCAAGGGACAACGTCGATCCTAATTTTTACATTAGGTTATCCTAGTTAATGTCTCTTTTGTGTGCAGGTGGTCTGCCTCTGCCAGGAAAGACTAGATTTTTTTTTTTTTTTGGCTCAAGTGAGCTTTTGGAGTAAAATTGTCTGATCTGGGCCATCTCCTGGTCCCGTGTGACACTTTGTATCTGTTTAGCCACAGTTTTTGAAATACGTGATTAATCAAATTCCTCCTTGTTTCTGTACTTTATTATGGGAGTGAATGCTAGTAGCTGCTAATTATTTAAAATGCTTATTGTGCAGCCTGATAACATGTAATTGATAAGGTCAAATGGAGACTGAATTGCACAATAAACATTGAAGAGCCTGGACAAGCAACAGATCTAAAATTCTGACTCCAAGGATGTGAAAATAAAGACATCTGTTTATCTATATGCATGTGCTTCTGCATCGACAGCAAGACTGGTAACACTGCAACATGGATTTTGTGTCAAGTAGTCAGTTGTCAGCTTCCATATCTTGGATGTCAAGGGTAAAATTTTGTACTTAATCAGAAAACTAGCTAGTCATTTCAAAGATACTGACGGCCCCTTTTACTCTCATGCTCTTAAGCTAACATTGTTTTAAGGTAGGTAGTATGCTTACCAGGTTTCTTGCTGTGATAATATAATGGTTTTAATTTGCTCTCCACCAATGGCAAGACTGTATTAACGTGGTTCTGTAACATTCGCAATCAATGTAGTTGGGCTGGGTTAGCAAAATTATTTTCTTACTGCTTTGGTTCAACCCAGTGTGGGATAGAAAAAGTCTGTATAGGTGGCACCATTACATGTAGAGAAAAAAAAAAAATCCCATTACGGAGAAGGAAAAAAATCCCACCCCAGGAAAACCCAACACAAAATATTTGGGCTGTCAGATGTGAAGAACTAGCATTACACTGTTCTAAGAAGAAAAAAAAAGTATTGGAGGTGTTTCTTCTTATGCAGACAAAAAAGAAACAAAAAACTGACCACTGGAAAGCATATGACAGTTAAGAAAAAGTGAGAAACTGTATGGTATTGAAAGAGAGAAATTTGCAGTCATTCTATTTATGGATCCACATCTAGTGGAATTTTAGCATAAATGACCTTTCATGGTCCTATGCTTTTTCCATTCTTTCATTCTTGACTTGATCTTATCCAAAATTATAAAACCATGACAAGTAGTTACTACCAGCTCTGCATTGAGGAACTCTTCAGATGAAGGCCTTACCTTCCATTAGTAAAAGTAGTTGCTTGTCCTTACAAATGTCCTTAACCTAATGGTGAGAAGAGATGGACAAGGGACATGAAGGCTAGTTTGTTTGCAAGAATATGTTTCTGGCATAGTGTTAAGATGAAACTTGACAACCGATGTCCAGTTGTTCCCTCTTCATTTTTGAAACTCCTTACACACATCGATTCCAGAGTGCTCTGCAGTAGGAGATGCCCACTTCAGATTGCAGCTTCTTCTCATTGGATCCCTAAAATTCCTCTAGAACGTGCAAGCATTAATGAAAGCTAAATAGAGGCTTAAACTGAAGTTGGGCGGTGTCCTTGGAAAAATAAATATTTGAGTATTAAACTTTTGAAAGCTAATCAAGACCTGGCTCTCCTATATGGATGTTAAAAGCTGTGGTTAATCGTTTGCATATCTGGAGGTGCTAGTATTCGGCTTGTAAGGAGATGTAAGCTGACTTTTTCAAAGCGATATTGTCATAGCCCATACCTTTTCTCTCAGTGACTCACTTTTTTGTTGTTCCAGAGAGAGACCTTTTTGGAGCAGAACCTTTTGACCCTTTTAGCTGCGGAGCAGGAGATTTCCCTCCAGACATTCAGTCCAAACTAGATGAGATGCAGGTAACTACTGAGTTATCAGTCATGCAGTTTTCTATGGCTGTATGACTGTTCTTGAAATACGCGTTTACAGTATTCTAAAAATCTATTCCAGACTGCACACACAAATATATATATAAAAAAATATTTCTGGCTCTTCCTTTTGTAAGTGTATCTCATGGTCTTTGAGTTGGAATTTGAATTTGCCTGAATAGCTTTATGTGGTATTAATATGGACACCTGCACTAATTTAGGATTTCTCAGAAGCATGATCAAAACTGATAGTGCAACTCCTGCCTGGGAAGGAGCTGAGGGAGCTGAAAGAGGGAGCTGAGGCAAGAGCCCTACAGATAAACTGATTTTGTTATACTTCAATTCCAGTGATCATCACCATCCCAGTATACCCTCAACTTTCTCTCAGTGGCATTAAGTCTGTTTTTTCATAGCATTGTCATAAGCAAAGTATGTGCTTAAGGGGTTGTGGCAATTTTCTTCTGCCTTTAAAAAACAGCTGTATTTGATTATGGCACTCTGAGACAATTAAACTATTGAGAATTGACTCAAGAATTCTGAATTGATGTGTTTATCAGAAAATGTTTGTTGATTCTGAAACACTCAACAGTATCTGTTCAGTTATTGACCCAATTTTGAACCAATTCTAGGAGAAGGCCATCAAGTTTTGGAATAAATCACTCTCTTCAGTCAGACTTTCCAAACTGTTAGTTCCTTGCCAGCTTGCTTATCGTTTTTTTTTTTTTTAGCAGCCTGCCAGCAAAACAGAAGGCTGAAAATATCAGGAACTTGAATGAATAGGATCCTGGCTGCTCAGCAGAAAGTGTTCCCAGGGCTTCCAGCCCTCTTGTATCTCAAGAGCTAACAAAGTCCAAGAGAGCTAGCTCTCGGACTCCTTCAGTTCCTCTTCTGCCTGGAGAGCAGCAGAAACATTTCAAAATGGCTGAAATAAGATTTAAATAAGGTTTAATTTTCCTGAGTAAAATTTCTTAATTCCTGTTCATTGTGAAATTTTATTTTCCATGTCAGTTTAGGATGGTTCTGCTGGCAAACTCCACTCACTGTGAAGTAAGAAATTTAGATTCTTGCTTACCTGTACTCTGGTCCGAGTAATTTCAGATAGCAGCTAAAAGCCAAAACTGGCTTAATTTGCAATTCCAGTTAAAATACTTGTGTTTTGTGAATGCTATAATCTTACATTATGAAGCCCTTTAGCAGAGAAAACAAATCTTTTAGCACCTGCCATTGATACAGATCAATGTTTCCATTGTCTGTAGCCCATTTTAGGAAAAAGTATAGTGTAGCATCTGTGGCTACTAGGAAGAATCCTATGAAAATATCTAAATGTTACACATTAAGAGTTCTTATTACAGGAAATGTTTTGACAAAATTTTTAATTGTTACCATATAAGGCTGCAAAGTACTATCAACTCAAAGACATGAGGTTTTTTGAATGGAACAGTAGAAATCTTTATCAAAGATTTCTGAAGTCATAAAATGAAAAACTCATATCATTTTACTCTTTTGAACTAATAAGGCAGATGAACCCCCAAACCTTAGGGCATTACTATGTCCTATTCCAAAGAATATTGCATTGGTTGGGTATTCCCCCCTGCACATACCAGGTTTGTTTTTTCCAACTTTTTTGTATGCTTTATAAACTAATCTGACAATTAGCAAGTCTAGCCTATCTACCCTGATATTTCCACTGAAAATTGATTAGTGGGTCTTTATGTAGTCACAAAACTTGTTCGTGTAGAATCCAATTGAGAGCAAGTGCAAAGCTGGTGGGGTGTGAAAAAAGCCCAATATTCTAATTTTGACCAAAGGAAAAGCTATGTGCAGTTATTTTACTAGATGGTTGGTGCAAAATACAGATTGAAAAATGTTTTTCCTAATATCTCTCTTCTCTTCTTGTGCTTTCCTGGGTGCCTAGCGTCAGCGATGGTTGGTATATCGTATTTTAATAATGGTATTTAAAGCATTTACAATTGAAGTGTGCGTTTGGTCATGTCTGGTGTTTTTATGTATGTCTGTACATATATATA